TCTATTTATATGTAGAAACTGACTTTGGCGTGCATGCGATACGCACGTGTTTGACGTGCATACAATACGCGGTTTTTGCGTGCATATACACACTTTGTTGGCGTGCATATAATATGCATTTGGCGTAGCCTACATATACGCACCTAGCCCACACTCCTAAACCTACCAATTGCGTATCTTATACACCCCAAAGTCCATTTTTGCATATAAATACGCCAAATAGAAATAGAAAATCGTGCCATTAACGCACACATTCATGAGATCGGGTTAGGCCTATATTTTAATATATATTTTATCAAAACATGTTGATAAATAGTTTCATGTGGATTGTAACCAGCGCCGTACTGTTGTTATGGTTAACGTTACCTCGGTACGTTACTTTCAATCTAATCTAACTTTTGTGGATTTGTTGAAACATATATTTACTTGTAGGATATGTGAAAAATACATACTTTAGAGACCTTTTGAGAACATTTTTGACATTCTTTAGGGGTTCAGTTACAGACCCCTATAATTAGCACCCCCTCAATTAATTATTTCCAAGCTTCAGAATCAAGATAAAATGTTGTTAAAACTATTTTGTGCCAAAGCTAGTTCATTAACAACACTGTTCCCTATTAAAACGTGTGGGAACATTCACTGCGACAAAAAACAATTTAAACCATTTTGTATGCATTAGTGACTCAATAACTTTAACCTCAAAGGAAGAGGTAATTTATTTATTCATTCATTAATTTTTTTAAAGCAGATGATTCACATCTGCTGTTATTGCTCCAGCGGTACCGTCCTTAATACGTGTAAAGGACCGTCTGTTAGACGTGATAAACAGAGAATATGTTGCATGCTGCTTTATAATCTTGCATTCCTCCTTGCTTGCGCACACACATTTGAACATTTTAATTGCGTTGGAAGAACTTTTTAGGTCTACAGATCAGCCAGCAGACAGTTGGTGTGCAGCATAATGAGGCGGACACACCTGGCGCGCGAAAACAACTGGTTTGGCCCTGGTGTCAGAGTCTGCATCAGCAGCTGACTCCCGCGTCTGGAGAAAGTTTCTGGGACCTCCGAAATCATTTGGCGAATCATTTAAGGAAATTGTGAACATATGATTAATAATCATGATTATTAATCACGGAACTGAACTGTTCTTGTTCCACACAGACCTGACCTTCAAGACAAGAAGTAACTTTTAGTAGCCTATTTTTGGAATTCATTGGATACTGGTGGAAATCATCATTTGCACAGACACAAATAAATTAATAAAGCAACAAGTATATCATTAACCAACAAATATGCCTGGTACAAGTGAAGTTAATTTAGTTAGGTACAAATCAACTAAGACAAATATCTAATTTGTCGTTTTAAAATGTGATGCCAAATGACTTAACCACACAATGCCATTTTAAACAGTTAAAGATCTCCACTACACTACATAAAGTAAAAAAAAGAAGAAGACATTAAATACTAAATTAAATGTCTCACTTCACCTCTTGTCCCACTTAATCTGTATTTACTTTTATTGCATTTTGAAACTAAAACAATGAACCTTCTCAACAAACCAGGTACGCTAGACTAGATGTTTAATTTATAAAATGAAAACTTATTTAACTTATATTATCTATAGAATTAAGGTGGAATTAATATCCTCCAGGCAAGTACCTCTTCTGGTGATCTCACTTCCTTTGCTGCTTCCTCTCAATTTGCTACACCTTTAATGTTTGAAAACTATAAACAATCTTCAAGCATTTAATTTTGATACATAAAAATTAGCCGTACAATATTATGAATTGCTGTGAGAGTGTTGTTTAATTCCCCTCATGATAATGGAGTGCATTTTGTTGTTCAATTTCTTAAAGTTTCGCTGTTTCTTTCAGGGTTCATTTTATGGCAGACTAAGACACTTCCTGGATGTGATCGACCCTCGCACTCTCCTTGTATCAGAGGTAAACGAGAACCTTCTGAAATGTAAACCTCAAATAATTTGATAATTTGTATGTGAATGCTGTTTTCGCTGTTATTTATTTATTTATTTTTTTTAGAAACGTTTAAATGAATGTATGAAACTCTTGGATCAGTTCAAAAATGGAACTCTGCCTCCAAGTGTGACTAATGTGCAGGTACGTTTGGGGCCCATTAAAAGGTCATTTGGAAACCCCCATTGTGTCATGTTTGCTACACATTTTTGCAGTTATGCCATATAGGGGAACCATTTTTGGTTCACCAAAGCACCTTTCAGTGAACAGTTTATAAAATAATTTTTTTTTCACTATAAAGAACCTGTTGTGGAATGGAAAGATTCCATTGATGTTAAAGGTTCTCTATGGAACCACAGATGTCAATAAAGAGCCTTTTTAAAAGAGTGTGTTAAAGGTAATGTGAGTAGTATGTTAGCAGAGGAACAAACATCAGCCAATTAAATTCAAAATCAAATTCACATGTGTTGTGTAAAGAACTTCAGTTTTCTTGGTAACGTCAGTTACACAACAAAATCAAAGTGAGGATGTAATACTCCTAAACATTTCCCTCTTTTGCATGTTTCTGTTTTTCACAATAGCTTTGGGAGGCACAGAAGATTAAACAGGTGAGTGTGAACAGCGTTGGAAGCCTTTTACAGGTTGCTATGATGAAAGAACCTGCTTAAATCACTCAACATCTTCGTGCGCAGTGTGACACGCACTCACAAGCTGTAGTTCTGTATAGTGGTCTAATGAGAGGAGAATTACGGCTAACCTCAGCATGGTAATTCTCCCATCAGCTCGCTCTCACCTCTTCTTCTCTCTCGTTTCCTCCTCGTCATCCTGTCTGCTGTCTGTGGATTCATTATGTCCTCAGGCCATCATCCATCCAGACACAGGAGAGAAGATCCCCATGCCCTTTCGCATGTCAGGTAAGGGTGTGAGTGTGTTTTCGGTGTGTGTGTGTGTGTGTGTCTGTGTCATGGGTGGTAGGCAGTTTTCTGCTTGTTACCAGCTCTGGAGACTGGAGTTAGGTGGTAGGGGGTCTCTCTGGACCGATCTGTTGGCAAAGGTCACACTCAGCTGGGCTCTGATTAAACCCTCTCCCTCCTGCTGTCTGGAAGTGTTGTTGGGCCACTCAGAAATAGGAGTATTTTAGTCTTCTCTTAACACCACTATTTAAAGAGAGAACAGATAGAGAGAGACCTGCCTGACAATTATGATGGCTACCTCTGAAACATGCTATCTTTTATGAGTAATGACGATTTTATAAATGTGAACCTGGAGCACAAAACCAGTCTTAAGTCGCTGGGGTATATCTATAGCAATAACCAAAAATACATTGTATGGGTCAAAATGACTGATTTTTCTTTTATGCCAAAAATCATTAGGATATTAAGTAAAGATCATGTTCCATTAAGATATTTTGTAAATTTCCTACTGTAAATATATTAAAATTTAAATTTTGATTAGTAATATGCATGGCTAAGAACTTAATTTGGACAACTTTAAAGGCGATTATCTCAATATTTAGATTTTTGTGCACCCTCAGATTCCAGATATTCAAATAGCTGTATCTCGGCCAAATATTGTCATATCCTAACAAACCATACATCAAAGGAAAGCTTATTTATTCAGCTTTCCGATGATGTATAAATCTCAATTTCGAAAAATTGACCCTTATGACTGGTTTTGTGGTCCAGGGTCACAAATGTGTTAAAGGTCAGTAATAATGTCAAATGAGAGTCTATAATCCTGTTCGTTAAACCAAACATGACATGAAATGTACTTCTGTGGCCTGATCCAGCCTATTCGAATGTCAAAATGACAGTCTTAGTGTGATTTAATTATTGGATCAAGGGTTCATTTTCTCCTGAAATCATCTCAGCACACGGTTCTCCTTTTCCTTTCAGGTTTTGTGCCCTTTGGTACTCCAGTGGTAGGTCATTGTGAAAAGATATTCAACTTTTCCTTCTTGTCTAGCCCACCAAATGTAAACTTTAAATCACTTCTTGTAATTTACTCCTCCATTATAGGTTGTAGGCCTCCTTTTACCCAATCAGACATTTGCTTCCACCATCTTCTGGCAGGTATGGTATACATGTGTTTTTCTGGTCTTTCCAGATGAAAAGTCAATCTGAGCTCTGTTTACTGTGAACTCACTGTCTCACTGTCTTTCTCACAGTGGCTGAACCAGAGCCACAATGCCTGTGTCAACTACTGCAACCGTAATGCATCTAAGGTGCGATATATAAGTAATATAATTTTTTTTGACCAGTGCATAAGGCATGGCATATTATTATGTTCACATATATTCTAAAATTATCATTAAAAAGCAATGAAAAAAAGTGCTACAGTGATGTATTTTTAGAAGCCAACTCAGACGTTTGCATCACCCTGGTTCCATCGACAAAAAACCAATAGGCTTTTGGATTAATGCAGAAAATAAGCTCTGTGAACAACAAAAAATTTATGATTTTTACACATTTTGTTTATCATGATAATCTTTACAGATGAACTATTTTATGAATACAATCATCCGAATTAAAAAACTAAACAAAGGCTATAAAAGAACTATTTCAGCATCGCCATCAGCATCAAGTGTATTCATTTTAATGCATGCATAATGCCGTATAAAGATTGTATAATATGTTGTATCATCTCATGAATAATCGTTACAACAGTTGTAATACATTATAATACTTACCTATTTATGGTTATAACTTTTTAAGAGTATGATTATGTATAACATGCAATGAGCACCATGTTTTATGCGCTTAAGTTATAATGGATTATAATTCTCATAATTTGAAGTCTTGCAACTTGACTTTGCTTCTTTAAGATCTTATTACATCTTGTGAGGATTGGTTGTTCATATTGGAGTGTTTTTCTGTGAGGCTAATGTTTCAGTGTGAGCTAGTTTACACTCATCGGTAAGCATTTTACAATGAAATATGGTTTTCTTGAAATTACAATACAAATGTTCAAAGTAGATGTATCACATAACCCATTCATTATATCTTAAGCATACAGTGACCATTTATAAATATTATGAGCATATTGTACAGCATTTTGGATATTTACAAAGAAGACTTTTTTGTCTTTTTATAATAAAAGACCACTTATAAGATACTGTGCAGATCTTAAAACAATGTCAAGATGTGAGACATATAATGCATTATAACTATGGGAAATATCATCTATTTTAACTTTAGAGGATATAATGTGATATAATAAATAATAATATTCTAAGAAGCTAAAACAAAAATATTATACATTCTATATAAGTTTTGCGATTCATGATACATGTTGTTTTTGTAACACTGTGCAATAAGGTTTCATTTGTTAACATTAGTAAACTTTAAATAACAATGAACAATACTTGTTCCAAATAAGACCTTATTGTAAAGTGTTGCCCTTCTTTTATAAGATACTATGCGTGCATAATAATGAGTAAGAATGTGCTTAGAAAGCATTATATATACAAGCTCCAACGGAAGTGTTTCCAAAAATGCCATATTCATTCATTTTATTTGATTAATGTATGCTTTTTTATGTTTTCAGCCCACGCCAATGTCAACGTTTTTCCAGGGTTACCTCGGTGCAGTCAGCAGTGCAGTTACTATTGCAGTGAGTTCACATGCATGCACAAAACTGTATTATGTCATTTGATGTGTAGAAGGAATTCTCTTTTAATCCTTACATTTTAAATTGCCATTTCACGCTAACAGAAAAAAATGTTTATTCATGACTTTTCTAGTATTACGTGACTTAAATTTTAACAAGCGAACTGATGGAGGCTGATAGCATCACATTGGCACACAGAGCCCTTTGCTGTATTTCACATTGCTGAATTGCATATCCTTCTAGTCACGCCCCCAGTGTCCTCTAGAGCCAATTAGCTGCCCTGCTGGGCGGCAGTTTGATGCCCAGGGGCATGACAAGCAGAACCATGGTGACGACAACTACAAATGGCCCCATGCCTGTGAGAAATATGGGAGGGGGGCACTAATTAAAACTACAATCCCTCTGAAGACCCCTGCTGGGAAGGGAAGGGATGTGAATGGGTTTGATTCTCAGATGTTTGTTAGACGAGCCTTTAACTGGAGCTCATAGAGATGACCAGAGACTCACAAGGCAAGATGAGAAACAACTTAGCATAGCCTGTCATGACCTGATCATGAAGCCCACTGGGAGTTACGTGCTTTTAAGGTCACCATGAAAACAAATGTGTATTGTCTCCATAACATTTTTGACTTCATGGGTTATATTTATTATATTAGATCAATTATATTAGAACTGTCATGCTCTATGATTATGTGAGATGTCACTCTCTAAATAAAGGACAGATAGGTGTAATATGAAGCCATAGCTGTGGCACAGCGGGTAATGTGAGTGCTCTACACGTGTAAATCTGCTGCGCTCATGGGCACACAGTTCAAATTTCCTCCCTCTCTTCACCTATTTTCCTGTCTGGGCTACATAGTCTTTTAAATTAAAGAAAAAAAATGATGAAAAAAAGAATTCAATTTTAAAATTGAAGTATTATAATAAAACATATATACACACACACTACTGTTCAAAAGTTTGAAGTCAGTGAGACGTTTCTTATGCTCACCAATGCTACATTTATTTGATGAAAATGCAGGAAAACAGTAATAGCGTGAAATATTACAATTTAAAATAACTAATATCTATTTCAATATATTTTTAAATGTCATTTATATTGCTGAATTTTCAGTAGCTATTACTCCAGTCTTTATTATGAATTATGTGAAAATGAAACAATGAAGCAGTGTGTGTGTGTGTGTGTGTGTGTGTGTGTGTGTAGCTTTAATCTGTCATTCAGAAATTATTCTAATATGCTGATTTTCTGCTCAAGAAACATTTTTTGTTATCAGTGTTGAAAGCAGTTGTGCTGCTTAATATTTGTGTGGAAACAGTATATTTTTTTCAGGATTTTTTAATAGAAAGTTTGAAAGAACAACATTTATTTGAAATAGAAATCTTTTGTAACATTATAAACTTTTGTAACATTGGTAGTTTCATGTGTCCTTTCTGAATAAAAATATTAATATCTTTGAAAGAAAAAAATATTATTGACGTCAAACTTTTGAACAGTGTGTGTGTGTGTGTGTATGTATGTGTATATATATATATATATATGTGTGTGTGTGTGTGTGTGTATGTGTGTGTGTATGTATACATTTATAATTGTATGTTTATTTCAAAAACATATTTACAATGTTACATATAACAAATTTTTTTACTTTATTTTAAATAAATTAAATGTAACTGAACGTGTGCACAGGTGGGGCTGACTCTTCTTATTAAAAGAGCTGAGCATTTCAGTCCAGCTACAAGAATCCTGGTCCAGAGGTTCATCCCGTTCCCTGCTGTTGGTATGTGCATGTGTGTGAGAGCATGTTTATGTATGTGTTGATTTTCTGGCATAATTTGCCCTGTTGTGTTTATGACAGAAATCAAGCATCCTGTCATGCGGTCTTGCTAAATTGCTGATTATTAAAGCATAAAACGACTGAGTAATGCACGATATTAATTAATGCCTACAGTTTTCAGTCCGCTCTTTTGCTGTCTGAAAGCTCACGTCTTTGCATTTGTAATGACACTCAATTTCTAAATGAGCATTTGTTCAGACTTTCATTAAACCGCAAGCGTTTGTTTATTGTTGTGTATTAGCGCGTTGTGTTTTGACTGATCCTGTTGTCAGAGGGAGCTGCTGCTGAAATGTAATCTCAGTGTTCCATTAGCGTTCTGAGGCTCAAACAGGTCCAGAGGGGCTGAGGGAGACTGTCCCACAATGCCTTGGGGATGCTTGGCTGTAATTAAATTGTTTTCGTCCCCCACCCCACCCCTTAATTAAATCAGCAGGTTCCCCCTCACCTCTCTGGGCAGGGGTAACGGGGCCTTGTTAGCTCTCGGCTGCCACTCTCTAATTGGTTAATTAGGCCTAAAGTGCTCTCTGTGTTAGCACTGAGTTCCCTGTCTCCAGGCCGCCATGTTGTTGTTGTTGTTTTTTAGTGTTTAGTTATGAAAGGCAATTAAATGCAGCTAATGGAACGCAGTGGAGACAAAGTGTTTGAAATTTGCCTTTGATTTTATTTTGCATTATTAGCATTTATATATATTTTAAGTAAAATGCTAATTAATCTTTTTTTGTTAACCTCAAAATGACATCTCGAATTTAGCACTTTTATAAAAGGGATTTTCATAATGGTTTTCGCCTCTATGGGTGACCTAAAGCAGGACCTCCTTAATATAAAATTTAGTATGCATTTGTTTATGTTTCTTTGTTCTCCATTTTTGATTCTGCATGTGTGTGTGTGTCTGTGTGTCTGTGTGTGTTTAATTGGCCTGGGTCTGAACCCCTCAGAGGTGAATAGCTATTTACTCAGCCAATTAACTCATCCCCACAACACTGCAGCACTGAACACTGATAACTCACAACACAAGGCCTGTAAATTAAAAATGCTTCAGGCTCTCTTTATTTCTCTTTCTCTCTCACACACACACACACACACACGCACCCACACCAATCTCACCACATGCCACAGATGATAATGCCAGGAAGTAAATCATTATTCTAATCATTTTTCCGCTTGTAATTCACGTGTGCACTTTGCATATGAAACTATTTGTTTTATATCCAGTTAACCCCTCTTAGCACCGACATTCCAGATCAAGAATGTTTTCCAGTTCTGATTGCTTTTATTTTAATATCCACAGGTGGTGACTCTCTGACAGGTTATTACTATTGTATTCTGTTCGTTCTGTAGTATTTTTATTGGGAGATTATATATATATGGGAGATTGCATTAAGATGTGTCACTCACCATCTAGCAAACTTTCTATAAAATGTGTGATGTGATATAGAAGTTATACAAATTTTTAATGATAAATACTGTTTGTATGTCAAGATACAATCATTTTTATGTTAAAAAAATGTATTATATATATTTATATATGTACGTGTGTGTGTGTGTGTGTGTGTGTGTGTGAATGATCATAATCTGCCTACTGTTACAAGTCCTACTATTACTATACAGATACTTTTGTAAAATATTGAATATTAAACTCGCCTGGATGTTTTTATAAAATGTGAGTAATGTGCAGCAAAATAAGACTTGTATTCATATTTTTATTTGAAGTGGAAATTTCTAACGTCTTCCCCAGTGATTCAACTTACCCTTGGCATGACACATCATGCTACTAACTTTTTAGTAGGCTTTCTTCTAATTTCAGTTGATAATCCGGTTGCACTTTATTTTACAGTACTTGTACTTATGTGTACTTACAGTGTACTTACCTAAGAAAGTACTGGATAATATAAGGTAACTACATGGGTTAGGGGTAGGTTCAGGGTTAGTACCTAGTTATTACCCAGTTATTGTAATTACTATAACAAATACATAGTATGTATATGCGGAACAGGACTGTAAAATAAAGTGCTACTGATAATCCTGTACATTCTGTATATTTTACATATTTCTGGCCTAGTTGACAGTTTAGATATAAAATAGCACCGACCCGTGTATACCCCATTATTCTCCCCTACTCTTTTAAGTTCAAATGCATTGAGCACATTAACTGCTTCTTACATTTCTTGTGTTTTCTTGTTTGAAAACGTGTCAGAGATAGTGACAATAGTCCAAACAGAGTCCAATTCACACGATTCTCTCTCATTGAATCTAAATAGTTAGACATCAGATGGAATTGTGTTTGTGATCAAGTCCTGTTTTCTAACCGCAGCTCTCCCTTCATTTAGCAAGTGCCAACGTGTGTAATGTTTTGCTGATGCGCCACACTGAGCTGTCAGAGGGCATCTGCGTACTGGACGACAAAGGCAATGTGGTGGGCACCTCAAAGCTGGCTGCCAGGCATGTGAGTATGGATCCTTTTGCACGTGTGAGGTGAAAGGTTACTGGCAGCTTTTGTGCAGGCCTATTGTGAGTTCTGGTCTGATAAATGTCTTTTTGTTCAGGCTCTGATAGAGACATCCCTGACTCGTGTCGTGCTGCCCATGCCTGTTCTCCTGCTGCCGCCTTTAATAATGGCCATGCTGGAGAGGTCAGATGAGTTCTTGTGAATTTGACATTTCAGACTTGAGTTATTTTTACAGCACCATCGCACAGTTTACCTCAGAAATCACACAACAATGTGCACCATATGTCCTGGTATATTTGTATTTCACAGTTTGATGTGATCACAACTTTTTATGTATCATTAATAGAACCTTAAAATGTACCAAATTCTCACAATTTTTTATTCCTACATAGACAAGGAGATGTTTGGCTGTTAAGTTCAAAATATGACAGTGGTATATAGTGGTATATACAATATGCTATATTCAGTGTTTTCTGCACTTCTGCAATTTTAATATGCTTAGAATTAAATGGTGGCACACCATGATTGGTTATGAGATCTATCAGTGAATCATCGCTTAAATTTCAGCCTTTTCCTTACAGAAATCATATGACTACAAAATGCTTAAAATAAAGTGCACAAATCGCATGGACTAATGACAACCTTTTACTAAATGTGCCACAATTTAAAGGGACCAGTAAGATTTTTTTTCTTTGAAAGAAATGTATACTTTTATTCAGCAAGGAAGCATTAAATTGATCAAAATGATCAATTTAAAATCATGTGACACTGAATGGCTGCTGAAAATTCAGCTATGCAATCACAGGAATAAATGTAATTTTTAAATATAGAAAACAGTTATTTTAAATATAGTATTTCAAAATATTACTGATTTACTGTATCAAATAAATACAGCCTTGGTGAGAGATGTCTTTCAAAAACATTAACTAATCTTACTGACCCCAAAATTTTTAAATGGTCTACTTTTTTTGGTTCACTGAGGAAAAGAAAGATACAAATTTTATATGATGACAAAATTTTTGTTTTTGAACTATTCCTATAATGTCTGTCTAGCTAGACAGGAGATGTCATGTCTACAGTGTATATGTGGCATTGGAGACCAAAAGTCCACCTTCAAAATCAGATTTTCTTGAATTTAAACTTTAGTTTAGAAAGAAGTTTTATGATAAAGTTTTTAACTCCTTTTATATCAAATTCTAAAATGCAAAATGCACATTTCTGTTGAAGAGTGGGATCGACTCTTCACCAGAATTCGATGGGTTTTATGACTCCTAGACAATGTCGCAACCTCCTCAAATTGTTCCTGCTCTTGATTCGCAGGTGTGTGCTGCTATGTGTGTGTGTGTGTCTGTGTGTGAGCGGCAGTAAATGGTGAGTTGTCCTCTGCTATGCTGCCTGTCAGCTCACCCTCACTGGCTCTCAATGGAGCAAGAACAGGGCTGCAGGAGGGTCACTGCTTTGAGGGTGGGGCTGAGGGCCAGGGCTATCCTTGATTAATTAGAGCGCTGAGAGGAGTCTGTGTGATATATGTGTGGTGCTTAAACCTTTCACCTGTCTCTCTAGCTGTGTCCGAAAACGAAGACAGCTGCTTTGCTGAACACTCCGTGACGCTGTTTTTGCATTAAAGTATGAAAATGGTTTCAGACTGTCGTGCAAGATGCAACAGTGTCACATGAAATGATCTAGAGGAAATTTAAATGAGCTTTAGACATAACCAAGCAAATATAACTATGATGCTTATTTGCTGATTGAAATTTTACAAATAAAAAAAAAGGTCGTTTATGAATTTAACTACTTCTTTCAGATGTTATTGTTATAAGGATTGTTACAGGAACTGGCAATATGTTATGTAGTGATTTGTACTGTCAAGGTTTTTAAAATGCATTTTGTTTTTGTAATATAAAACATTAGTAACACTTTGCTTGAAACCTTTATATACAGTGCATTTTAAAAGTGTTTTAATGCATAAATTATGCCTTCTAATGCACCTTATTATGTATAGTATGATTCATGAATAATTGTTCATATAATGATACGTTATACTTATCTATTCATTGTTGCATCTTTAATGCTTTAAAATACATGACAAACAACCAATTTCAGATCTAACAAGGAATCTACAAATATTATGAGTTTTAGCTTGGATTACAATTATTTTTGAAAATATGTATAATGCATTACATAATGAATGCCTTTATAATGCATTATACATAAATGCTTTAAGTAAAGTGTTACCAAAAAAATTACATTTATTAGACTACCTTTGCCATCTTAACACCCACTTAAAGTTAATAAAAAAAACCTGAATAATTTAATAACACTTTTAAATGTAATCTTTAACAAACTAAATGTAAATGGATTTTATTTTTTTCTTGATAGATTGTAATATCTGCTTTTTCATTGGTTATTGGTCATAACATGAAAATAAATATTGTGCATCCATAATATCATAGGATACGTTTCGTTTAAAGGCAGCAACTGTTGTTTACTACATGTCACTTCAGTGCAGCTTTGGCCTCTTCACAGGAGAGTGACGGATGAGTGTGTTGATTTAGTTAGAGCAGTTGACGGACACGATAAAAGGTCTTTAACAAACTTTGATCCTTTCCCCTGTTCCGTTCCTCTCCCAAACATACACATATACACAGAGAGAGAGAGAGAGTTTCTGGTGGCCAATTAAAGCTCATCATGCGTATGTGTTGATGAAGTCATCATTAGGCAGTCGCTGCCTTCATTAAAGCAGGACTACTCTGGAGGACTCCTGCAGAGCACGCTATCCCACAACCCCCAACACGCACTGCGGCCAGGGAGGGAGGGGGAGGTGTCAGGGAGCAATCACGCACAGCAGTTCTTCGAAAGTGTCAGCGAGCGCCTCTGATAACAAAAATGGCGGGAATGCTCACCGCCTTGCCAATAACGTATGCATTTTTGTGGGTGTTTGTACGTTAGGCTCCCTCTGCTGCAGAAGCGCCCTCGTCTCGGGCTGCCTGTTCACAGCATGGTGTGTCTCTGTGCGTTCGGCCTAGCGCTGCCTGTTGCCATCAGCCTGTTCCCCCAAAACAGTCAGGTGAGCACTCGCACACGCCTCCCTCCATCCGCTCGCACTTTCTCTCCGTCCCCTTCTCTTTGTCTGCCGTGAAGACGGTTATGGTTTAAAATGGTGTTTATTAAGCTGTTCATCCATATGGTTACTGAACTGCAGACATATGTGCTGCCAACTACTTCTATTCCTCTCCCACCCCTCCCCTCCTCCTCTCCTCTCACTCTCTCGCTCCCTCTTTACACTTTTCCGAGGGTTCCAGACGAACGCTCCCAAAAAACTCCACTCCTGTCCCCCCCACCTTTTCACACCCCACAGGATGTCTGTTTCAGATTCTGCCTCACACACTCACACACTCATCGCCATCTGTTTCTGAGCAAAATATTGCAAGTTTTGGCCCTGGTTTGGATATTTACCAGTGCTCGCTGTTTCATTTGAGCTTTTTATGATGGCTGAAGTGTCAGTTTTGACTGTGAAAAATGCTCGAGGCTGGAAAGACGTGGCACACTTTGAATTCTCATTTGGTGAAACATTTTAAACATCTTAATGACTTAATGATTGCTGTGAATGGTTACCTCACTGTAGCCAAAATATCTGAATCTTAATGTCAGTATAAAAATAACACTCCGTAATCAAAGCAGAGGAATCATATATGAGAAAATGTTATGTTACAATCTTTTCCTGGCACTTCTGTTACCACTAAAGCTAAATTAAATGAACCTAATAATTAGAGGTTAATGAAGCTATAAATGCTGTCCACGTATATAGTTGTTTGCATGTACTTGTCATATTTTGACCACACCTGTTTCCTGTCTCTCAGATCCACGTGTCGGAGCTCGAGCCAGAGATCGCTGCTGCAACAGAGTGCAAGATCCTGACCTACAACAAGGGTCTTTAACCAGTCAGAATGCTTGACACCCAGCAACTAATGTCACTGTCCCTCACGGTAAAACTCTAATGTGAACAGAAAAATGCAAAGCGTCATTTCAAATTTTGATTGCATCTCACTGGATTGCTCCTGCTGTGTGTGAATGTGAATCCTCTCTCAGCCACACACAGAGACAGACTCACACCGGCGCTAATCGTCCTCTTGCCATGCTCTTGAACGTGGAAGTTGCAAATAGAGGATTTCAGGATATTTACAGCAGTGAAAACAAGTATTCTTTTGAATTTCCCTGTGATGTACTTTAAATGCACATAATTACCAGCCTTCCCATTCAAGCAGTTCTGTATTATCTGACTACAAAAGACTGAAAAATAAATGTAATTGTCTTAAAACAACGAATAAACAATCAGTTTTGATATTTTAAACAGTTGTAATTGATTTTTTTTTTTACACAAAATTAAATCACCTTTGTGTTATTTTCTTAAAAGGGCTTTACAAACCCCAAATCATGCTCAAATTGAATAGGAATTAAAACATAATGATTGCAGTAACATTTGTAATTGGGTTTGTTTTAAACACAGGATTAAACTGCCTTTGTGTTATTTTCAAATAATGCCTTTACAAACCCCAAATTATGCTCAAATTAAGTAGTAATTAAAAAATAATAATGAATTACCAGTAACAATTGTACATGTTTTTTTTTTTACACAGAATTAAACTGCCTTTGTATTATTTTTTATTAAAATGCCCTTACAAACCCCAAATAATGCTCAAATTAAATTGTAATTAAAAAAAAAATAATGAATTACCAGTAATTCCCATGTGGAAAAGATGTAAAACATTATTCTATAACTGTTTTGTATAGGTCAGTATTAACTCAAATTGATCAGACTCGCTCAGTTTTATCTACAATGATTTTTTTTCCCTTTTTGACATTGGTTTTCTTTTTTATTTGCACACTGCAAAAAGCGCACACTCAAATATACGATAAAATCAAATGCTTTTCTCTTTTGCTTTGTTCAAGAAAATACACAGAAATCCCTTAAAACATTATTATCATGGTTAATGAACAGAAACAATGTACACATTTGTGCAATTCCTGCTTTCTTCTTTTTCCATCCATTTGTTCTGTTGTTTATAGATGATTGTATCTCTGCTTTTATTTGGATGTGTTTGAGTTCCTTTGGCAGGACTGTAAAATGATTCCTGTAAACTTCTATTTTATCGTTAGATCCATCGATCTTATTTGTTACATTTTTGAAGAACTATCATTATACATATTTTATTATGTATTATTACGTCCAAATCTTATTAAATCTTAATTTAAAAAAATTATATAAGTGGACCTGTGTGTTTTTCTACCTGGTTGTCACGGGAACAGATCACAGTGGGCAGTAGTGAGGGGAGACATGACATGAAGCCGCATGTAGAACCATTAACCGTGCAGGACTGCCATACACTGTTGCACAACATGCACATGACCGCATTAATGAGGGTAACATTACTGCTTATACCTTCCTTATTGTCAGCTTTTTTTTAAATTTCGAAATCAAGGAAAAATTTGTTTTTAAGTCTTTAATTTATATGAAAACAAAGGTTTGCAACAAAAAATGGCTGATGACTTAATATAATAGTACCCTAACCCAGAAGTCATTGAGGTTCCTTTCAAAACAAGCAGCCAAGTATGTTCCACTAGAGTGCCACTCTACATCAACAAGCTTCTGTTTACCTACCATAGGTTCTCCATTACACCATTACATGCTTAAAGCAGTTCACACTGCAAAATAAATTGCTGTAATATGTGGTTGTTTATCATAACAAATTTGGTAGCAGCAAGTTTTATTGATTGAACTTAAATCTACAGTAAAAATGCATATTTATTTCACTGAAATAATGTTTATGTACCAAATTACTCAAATCTGTTTACAATAAACGATTGTAGCCACATAATGAATCAATGAAGTTCATCACAAGTAGCTTTTCCATAAGCTGAGGTAAATACTAATATATAGAAAGATGCACACCATTATGGTAACCCATGCACAACACTAAAATAACACAATAAATATTAATTTAACAACAAAACCCTAATGTACATAACTGATATGAAAACACTAATAAACGGTTCATTGTTCAACAAACATTTCATTTCAATGAAAAACCTTCAGGTGTAAACCGAGAATACGGGGAATGCCAATTTATGTTTTTTTTCCCCCACTAAATTATAAGATGATTTGTTCTTTTTTACTTTTGTGCTCTTTTACGTATTTCACTTTAAAATGAAATGAAATCTCTCATTAGATCATATATAGCAAAGTTACTTACCATTAACCATTTAACAGGTTTTTATTGTTGCATTTTTAGTCTTTTACCGTTAAAATGACAATCATTTTCGCTAAGACTGTGCAGCTACAGTTTGTACAGTCTTACAAAATTAAATGTGCATTCACACAGTTCTTAGTCTTTCACGTGCATTAACAAGCACCCATCTATTTCTCAATCTCTTTCCTTTCTCAGAGGAAAGAGTGCTTTTAGGGAATGCATGGAATGTGTGATGTAAAGTTGCAGAGGATGTGATGTGTGCACCTGTGCACAGGATTGGATATCTGATGGCCTCAAAACAAACTCACCAAAACAATCTTTTTCTCCCTCAGTCTCAATAGTCTCTTGTCGTACTTGACAGTGATACTCGGGTGTCATCAGTCTGTGCGTTTCACTCTCACAACCCTTGCTCACACTGCAGGCTCAGGGTCAAATGTTGAGGTGAAAGGTCACCTGTGGGTTCATTTAACACAATCTTCCTCGGTTTCTTTTGACAGGAAGTTAGCACGGTGAGATGAGAGGAAAATTGCCGGTAGGCGTTATCCCTTTGTCTGAGTGTGTGTGTGTGTGTGTGAAAACATTTTAAAAGGGTAAACTGTTTTTCGTATGATAAAAAAAGGCCATTTACAATCAGTTTTTGTGATATTTTTGCATGGGGGACAATAAGGTGTGAGCTGCTAATAAGATTTGTCTCTGAAACATCTTTATTAATTATGGACATTTTTGATCATGTTTTGCTTGAAAATGAGATGAATGAACACTATAAAGAAGCTAATGTGTACATTGGCAAACATTCGCTTTAGTTTATGAGTGTTACAGAGAAACCTGCATACATCAGCCTGTATTTACCAGTAGGCCTACTGAATGACATCACGCAAATCACTCACACACACACACACACACACACTCGTCCCGTTACACTCGAACACTCCAACACCATTTCCTACACTCCTTTAGATACAGAGACCATTATTTACACAGACACATACACCCTTGCCTCTATGCTGTGGGTACAGGATGGCTCATGTTAAAACTGGCTGGTAACCTGATTCCTCACATCACTTAACTTATTTCAATCTAGTTGCTATAATTACCTAAATCTGCCACCAGTTTCATCAGCATGTCCTAAAGCATTTGGAACTTCGTATTCTTTTGATAAATGAAGGCAACATCATGTTGAAATGAATAAAAATGTCCATTTTAGTAACCGACTATACAAAGAAACAACAAAATAATCAGAATTAAAAATATTGACTTGTGAAAATTAACTTCATTGTTAGTTTTAAATACAATTTCTTCCAAAAAAAAAAAGAACAAGAGAAAGACATAATATGATTTCTTCTTACAGGTGATGCATGTCTGAAACATTGGATAATTCCAGCAGAGGTATGTTAAACAACTATAGTGTTCAGTCCTGGGTGTAGACCTGTTTAATTAATCCTTAACTCACAATGTGGTTAGGTTCTCTGCAGTTAGGATATCATGACTAATAACATTAAATAAATAGTGCTTTTCTTGGTCTTGTGTGTTCATTTGGGCAGTGTTTAGGTTGGTCTTAGGCGTCAGACATGACATCTATGTCCTCAGATCCGGTCTGTTTGGTGGCAATCCTCCAGCGGTTAATGTGTTGGTTTCCCTTCTTCTTCTGTGTGCACTCTGGGCCCTCTTCTTCCAGCTTCTGCCGCTTATACTTGGTCCTGCGGTTCTGGAACCACACTTTCACCTGAGGGGAGCAGAAGACCCAGGACATCAGTGCCATTAAGGTTTTGGTGAGTAGGCTATACGGTTGACAAGTTTAGCCTGTCACTGCTAGTGATAAACCGAGACAGATCGTGATTGATGCCTAGCAACACAGTTCAAACGCATTTGTGTTCTAATCGAATCGTTTCAACGCCACAGATGACACGCGGTCCATACAAGACGTTTGATTGATTCTGTTGCTTTCTTTTGTTTTTTTTTTGTCCATTTTTAATTTGTTTCAGAACTTTGTTGCATATGAAATCCAAACAAACACGAATACGTTATATATTTTAAATGGATTTAAACACATTTACTAAAAGATCTTGCAAAGATGAAGTCGCCATTTAATGTTTCTCATTGTTTCTCCTTCTAATGAAAAGTTTTCTAGCCTAACTGTACATTTCAAGAAAGCAATATGTGCTTACCGCTATAAATATAGTCGCATTTTAGGGAAACATACGGATAGCCAAAAACAACCCCGCAGAAGGTGAAGAAAAAACGATGATTTACCTTTACTTTTTATTTTATTTATTTCTGAAGCGGTCTCCTGCGCGCTACGCTGAACAAATTCACTAGATGCTCGGATCACGAGATCCTGAATCATTTCCCATAAAACATAGGCCTACGCTTAGAAATTAAAGTAAATTAAAATAAATAAATAAATCACATATGGCTAGGCTATATGTGTTAGCCATATTTTACCAAATAGTTGGTATATAAAGCGATGTTAATAATCATATTATTATTTTACATTATTATTATTATTATTATTTTGCTATAGCTTACAAGATTTTGTAAAAATTTTACAAATGACAAATTTTACAAATGTTGCGACATATCAAATCATGTTAGTTTACGCTTATTTAGCCATATGGCATAATTTGGAGGAACACTGAGGAAAACTCACTTTGCCAGGGTTTGAATGAAATGTAGGCCTAAACACAAATGAGATGTAGCCTATTCTTTTTATATGACAATTAAACTCAAATTTCAAACTGAGCTTTGTATCATTTGATCGGGGTGAATGGGTTTATTCTTACTTATCCGAGCAAAGCAAGTACACTGTAAAAAAAATTCCGTACAATTTACGGTAAAAAACCGGCAGCTGTGGTTGCCGGAATTTTACCGTAAAAATTACGGTAGCAACGTTTTAGGTTTTAACTTAAATTTACAGTTAAATACCATAATTTCATTTGATATAATGTTAATATACCAACCTATTGAAGTACTGAAATCTGTTTTGTACCTTTGTAATACACTGATAACCACCAAATGCAGGTGGTGATGAGAAAGTCACATGATGAACCAAAGCCCATCAC